CTTCTCCGCCTTCACCACTAGCGCTTCTGTTCCCCCGCAGAAGCTTGTCCGTGAGCGCCGTCAATCGTCCTCCCAATCTGGTCCCTGTTCCTCGGGACGTTCACGCCCCCGTTCCTTTTCAAATTCCTCTGGCACGTCCCGGCCTCCACTCGACATTCGGGAACCAATCAACACAGATCAAGGTACGATGGCACCTGCCGCTGTGGAACTCCCGAGTACGTTGCCGTGCATTCAAACTATCTTCTTACACTTTTTAGGATGAACTTCATGTATTAATAGGAAGTCTGTTGTGGTTGAAGATCTTCACTATGCCCTCGGGTTGTCTACGAAGTTTTCTGTGCTTCATTAATGTTGCTACTACGGAGACAGAAACCTGACGCGGTCCTCGAACTTAAAAAAATCTGCTTAATGTTGCACATTTTTGTCGAGGTCAAATCGGTTTGATTGATGTATACCTTGGTGACCTATTTAGTCTGACAGCTTTGGCACATAATTCACTGCTACCTACTCACAGGCCCGACTGAGTCCTGTTGAGTAACGAACATGTGCCAAGTGTTGATTATATTGCGAAGATAGTAGCGTTAATGCGGCTGTGCTGTATACTGTTACCTACTGTAACTCATTGTTGTGTGAGTATGACGTTAAACTATATGGCCTAACCGAATGCAAGCTAGGATACGAGCATTCTATTTATCCTAAAGTTCCAATTTAGGTCCCATTGGGGCGGTTACATATCGAGTAGAAAGAAGTAATGCTGACAAAGCATTAAATTGTTGTTCCTGGCTTACTTTTTTCAACAAACCATACTCCAGGCCCGGCCCGGGGAGACCGGGAACTTGAACCGTGTTCGGTTTATCATGTTTTGTCAGTTGAGCCGCGGGCTCCCATTCTGGCAGTTGCCCTCGAGAATATTCAAAGTGACATGGCGACACTGTACACTCCTGTTAACAGGACGGACTATGGTGTTTCTTTTGCCTACAATTTATTGTACACTTCGCTCCCATTCCTTTTTTTTCGGGATTGAACCTAAAATTGAGCAGACAGATAGTCTCAAAATTGGTGCACTTTTCAGCGAGTACGCTTACGAGGCCGATTCGCAGTTTTTGGAACACTCATCCCTTCTGGAACTATTTCAGCTCCCCAAGTTTACGTCCCGAATAGCCTAAGATCACCTCTACTTGTCCAGCCTATTTGTTTTTCCCTAGCTCTGAATTCAGTAGTTATTCTTCAGCCGGTCCTTATTTTGTGGTTTTCAGATCCATCTAGGCAAATGTGCTGGTCCCAGTCTTCTGCCCCCAGTTTCGTCCCTCCAGATTATCAGACCACCGTCAATTGTCAAAAGAAGAGTGGCTTCGAGAATTTCCAAATGTCCGAGCCACCCTTCGGCTGGGACCTGGACTCAAGCACTAGAATTCCAAATCTTGTATCTCACTGGGTGACCCTGATGGAAATAGTCAACGACTTTGCACGCGCTGTAAATCCTACAGAGAGGCAGTATTCGGATCCAGCCAGTTGCAAGTCGTCTTTTGAATTGGCCCAGAAGAAGCTTTATGTCGACCTTCATGCGTTCAGGGAGAGACATTTCGCAGAGCTCTCGGTGATTTTGGATGAGAACCGGAAACTTAGAAAGGTGAGTCTGTCCTTCTTCAGCCGAATTACTTTACTGTACAATTACTTCGTCCTTTTTTCTTCTGTCTACCGCACCACCTTTTTTTGAACGTCACCTCCACCCCTAATTGACGCCAATAGCTGTCAGTCAGCTGGTGCATTCTGAACGCAAGTTGTTTTGACAATCCCGCTCTTTCAGAAAAAACGAATAATAAAGTGGTTCGATCTTGATGGACGTACTGAAAACTGTTGGGCCATGTGAAATTGATACGACGGGGTGTTTTCTCTCTCGCTCTCTCCACCCGCAGAATGGCTTCGCATTAATGAAAAATTCATTTGGTGGATGATTTAGCCGAAGGTTGTGTATTAGACCATATTGTACACTCTTACGTTCTTCGACAGTGTTAGATGCTTGGCTACCACAGTTGACTGTTTTTTAGAGATAACGCGCTGGGATAGGGGAACTATCAGGTAAATGCATTTGTTACTGTCGGGCACTTGATAGTCTGTACCCTTCGACAACCTGGAGCATCTATTTAAAACAGAGCATGAAGTTAAAGAACGCTAGTAGGAATGGTGTTTACCAATCTACCCTATTTAGAGGGAGAAAGATGGACGGTTCCATTTCTCTGTCGAACTCCATCCTAAAGTGCTTGTAGGCGGTTGCATAGCGATAAGCAACCAGTACCCAAGGAGTGCTGGGTAGTACTTCTTAACTAAAAGACTTGCACAATCAGAAACGTGTAACCGGACTTTGTGGAATTACTAACGTGTACTCCACCGGCCGAGCTCACAAACACGCCTGCGGGCTCTCGAATTAATCGATTTCTCCTTTTTTGAATACCAAAAAGAGCTTATTTTCTTCTAGAATAATCCAGTTATTTCTGACTATCAGCCCACACTGGGGTCTATTTTCAACTTGAGTGACCGTTCTACTGGGACTAAAAAGTAATCCTCGTATGTGTAGCCCGCGTTCTTTCCTTTTGCGAGCTCCCTATCTCCCGTGGTCTGGCTAAATCATCGGTCATTTAACACCTGATTATTTATGACATTCTCCCTGCTAACCCGAGACATGTTGAGGAAGGAAAAGGCCGGGTTTCCAGAACAGATGTTCAATTAACCTAATTTTTCAAATTTCTGACCTGACCTATCGCAAACGTGTCTCAGTGCCA